AAAATTGTAAAATTTTATAATCGAATCCGTTCGTGCGCCGAATATTTCTGTATGGACGGAACTGTCATTCCATTGCTTAGGACCTTCTGGATCAATAAAGGGGACATACGCGATATGAATTAGTTTTACTTCAAGCGGATGAACAGAAGTGGCAGTCACAGTCCTTGTCACGGAAAGAGAGAAGCATGAAACTGGTGTTGCTTGTATCTATGCGCTGCACGGTTACATGCATGCCGATGTAGTCCCCCTCTGAAGAACCCTGTGTACGCCCCTGGATCAACTAAGATGTAGTACTGACTAAACCACTCTATAAGGGGCCATCCGTAAATATAAATATTTATTTGAAACGAAAACTAGTCATTTGGGGGGGGGGGGGGGGGGGGGGGTTAGCGCCTGTTCGTTTCTCGAAAAATATCGATGCACAGTTTGTATTTGTGGGCAAGTCCAGAAAAGAAAAGAAAAAATATCGATGCTATGCATCGTTTGTATGTGTTCGTTTCTGAGGGAGGGGGGAGGGAGTGAAGAGAAACGACTAGTTTTCATTTCTAAATAAATATTGGTATTTACGGATGGCCCCTAAGGAACGGATTTGTGGTGTGAATTTCGAAAAATGTCAGATGAGCTACCCGACCCCTCAAGTAGATCGTACTTCGGGTGACTGACCGTACCACGCTAAAGTACTTTCCGACTGGTGTCGCTCGAGGCTGCTTGGCCCTGCCATATTGTGTCCACCTGGTGATGCTTATCATTTTGCTACTGTTGATGGTGCTGCTGGCGCTGCTGCTGCTGGTGCTGCTATTGTCACTGCTACTGCTGTTGTTCTGTACCTGCAGTGTTTCGCTGAACTCCCAGGAGAACAAGATGACGTCACGCAACCTGAGCATCGTGTTTGCACCCAACTTCACACAGCCTCCGCTGGACAACTTCTCGACGTCGCTGACCTCCTCACTCAGCCAAGTGGTTGCTCTGATGATCTCGCAGTGCCACCTTGTGTTTGGTACCACCGGCTCTGCTGCAGGGCGCACGGGAACAGGCTCAACGCCAACGAGAGCAGCGCCTTCCGCTGGACTTAGCAGTGCATCCGCTGCGAGCTTGACCAGCGACAGCGCTGCTCGTGGAGTTCCTCTCCCAGCGTACAAAGTCGTATCTCTGTCAAACCCAGGCTCTCGGCCACCATCCGTCACTGATAGTCATCCATCCATCGCTACAGCTTCAACCAGTGCAGGTTCCTCGCCGAAGCTACCAAGACGGAGTCCGTCGCAGAAATCCCCGGCACCTTCCGCTTCTGCGAATCCCCCTAAGGAGTTTGAGATGTATGGCAGGACTCCTGTATGGGGAGCTCGATAGCGGAGGAGGCAACATGCGCTGCCGCAGTGCGTGTGTATGTGTGTGTGTGTGTGTGTGTGTGTGTGTTTGTGAATGTGTGTGTGTGTGTGTGTGTGTGTGGGGGGGGGGGGGGGGTACATGGTGTGTGTGTGTATGTTGTGCATGCTTACATGCTTACATGCTTACGTGCATGAACATAATGTGCACGTGCATAGAGTGCGCACCATTCGATACAAGTCATGATCTAACAGATAGTAAACCCCGAAAACCAGTATCTTGATATAGTAGCAGAATTTCTCCGCACTTTCTGATCCTCTCGTATCCTCAATCATTTGTTTTTGATCGTCTTGCTACTAACAGACCTTTGCAGTCAATTTGTGTGAAAAGAGTAAACACTTTACGGTGGTTGAGCATGCACGATCTTCTAATGGCCATGTCAAAGTGTCCGGTGATGAACTGTGATGCGAGGCGGTCACTGTTCAGTTGTTTGATTGCCGTCACGAGTGCTCGTCCCACCTTGAATACGAATTTATATTAGACGCTGCCGATTGCTGGCTCTTCGGTGGCTTTCCTACGTGTGTGCTGCTTCAAAGGTAGCCTGTTGTTCAATTTCTCATTCCCCACCGATTTGATCTATCGATTCCAACCAGTACAGGGACAAGTACGAGTGCAATGATTTGCGATTTCCCCCAGTACACTCAGCCACTCCATTCTGCGTCATTAACATTGTTATGCATGGTATCATGATGACATCATTGGTGATGTCATGGCAGTATCACCATCATCTTCATTGCCAATCAATCACAACCTCTATCACCATCACAATCATTTCTATAAATATTATTGCAAACAGCTCCAGCTCGTGTAAGCTATTTTCAAATACTGTCGACCTTGCCAAACGAGGTCAGTGTCTTCACTGCCTGGCCGATGTTTTACAATATTGTTCAGAACAACCCTGAGACCTTGCTACAGTGTGTGGTTGTGGTGCGTGTGTGTGTGGGGGGGGGGGGGGGCACCAACATATTCGTGAACGGCAGTTCTCGACCGGGGGGGGGGGGGGGGGGGGGGGGGGGATGCATGTGTGTATGTCCTGGTAAGGGTTATTGTGAGCGTATACCGGTATAGGAGCAACACTGGTTACGCTGTACTTTCCACCCTCTGATTGCGTCTTGTCGGCACTATCTACCATGCACACGCTTACGTTAGAAGCCCCATGCTGTGCTGTGAACTTGTGTCAACTCGTGTGCATGTGTGTGCCTGTGTGTATGTTAAGTTTACATGCACAGCTTGCATGACGTTTGGTTGAAAAATGGCGTATAAAATTTCAATCCTTATTGTACATTTTGACTCAACAGTATCCTGGTTGCCCTAGGCTATAGACAATAGGTGTGACTGAGACAGTTGTCCTATAGACAATAGGTGTGACTGAGACAGTTGTCCTATAGACAATAGGTGAAATTCAACCTATACTGTACACCAGGGCAGACTAGTAGGTGATGTGGCCCAGGACTTGCACGGTCCCGACTCCACGATGGCACCGTTCAAGACGCTGGCGTGCAAATTGATACGTATGCAAAATTACCTCCCGTACAGTGCGCACTATAATATTATTGATATAGTTCTAGGTGACAGCAGCATGTGCCATGACATCAGAAACAGAGCGACGAAACCGGCAATACGCTCTGTTGCCCAACTATAAACGTACAAGTAACGTTACAAGCGACTGTTCAAAGTCAGAGTACTGAGTACATTCTCCGGCATCAAAAGACCGGAAAACGTTCGAGCTTACAGATGTTCAACGCTACCAAACGACATGCCATTCTTGGAGATTGGTGATAGCGGGGACAAGCTTGAGGAGTCGGGAGAAGCGGCTCTTTCATCATCACCGCCACCGTCATGACCTCCGTTGCGGTTTTCACGGTCTCCCGCAGCGGTGGTGGCGGCGGTGGCGATGTCTCTCCCGACCTGCCGCTCATCTTCATCGCGTAGGCGTCGCACGTTCGTCAACTCCTTGCTGAGGTCGGTCATGAGGAAGCGCAGCTGCTTGACGACCGTCTCCAGCTCCACCACGCGCCGATTGGCGGAGAACAGGTCAGCGCTCACGATCTCAACGCGGCGTCGTTGTTGTTCCTGCTGCTGTTGTTGTTGCTGCTGACGTTGCTGATCGGACGAGTTACGCTCGTCGGATGTGACGTCGCCCAGCGACTGAGACCGTGTCGGATAACTGCGCAAGCTGAGCGAGCACAAAGCAAACAAAGGCACAGTAGAGCTGTGTTTGCCAGACCCACGTATCAAGCGGAATCCTGTATTGACCCAACACATTCCGTGCACCCAAGTGCTGTGGATCGAACGAATAAGGAATAAGAGACTAGAGTTTAGGAAGTGAGAGTACCACTATCGTCACCAAGAGTCCATAACCCCAAGTGTATGCAGCTCTGTACATGGGGATCCGCGCGGCGGAATTCCAACATTACATCAAAAATGACGTACACATTCGTTGCGCCTGTACTCCCTGGTTCCAAGCATCGCAGAATGCGGAGTTTTGTACGGCTGTGCTTCAGCGGCATGGCGTAATGTTGGAATTCCGCCGCGCAGTGGGCCTATAGCAGCCAGACCCCAGTTGCACACTCTTGAGGTTATGCACCAGGGCGTCACCGGACCCCTTCACAGGGGGGTGCACAGGAATTTTGCACAGGAAAATGTTTGCACAGGAAAACACGAAAAAGTTCGCTGATAGTGAGCTGGCCAGACGCTTTCTTTTTTCGAGAAGACAACATTTTGAGAGGAAACAGCTCCAAAGACTCTTCAAGTGTGGTGACCTGACTAACTTACTTGCGACCACACTGAATTATTTATTTCTTCTGTTTCAAACAAACACCCAGCACGCCGCCGTGCGTGTAGAGTCTAGTACAAGGCCAAAGGATGCAGCGCTGCGCACACGTGCCTAGTAATTGCTATTTAAAAAAATCCACGGTTCGCGTGAGACTCGCCGGCTGGAAGCCAGGCTTTCCGCATCCGTAGGAACACCACCACCGTTCAAGGTTCAAGGCGCAGATGCAGCTCCTAAAGCGGTGGGAGGTGAGTAGATCAGCTCAAGAATCAGCTAGATTCTACCAGCACTACACTTTTCATTTCGCAAAAAAACAAGGTCGAATTTTTTAGGGGGGGGGGGGGGGTGGGGGGGGGGGGGTGCACGTGCCCCCCGTGCCCATCACGAGTGACGCCCCTGTGCACTCTTGTCGTCACCCAATGTTACATACAGTATGATCTTACCCGTTTGTGTCCGTGGAAGCAACCAGGTTCAACTCATCCGAGTACAGCTGCCGCCACTGCATCGTAAAGCAAAACACAACATAACCGGTTGTGTATTACACATCTCGGCTTATTCCCGCAGAAGCCGATGTTAGTGCTAGGCTTCTATTTGCATCAGCATTATTTTCAGAACTGGTATTTCTAGATACAATTGGGTGAACTCACCCATTCCACAATACTCTGCAAATTTCCGAACCATTCTATTATATACAACGTTTCGGCCAATGGCCTTCTTCAGGTAGTCAATGATGTCCCTAAGGCTGCAAGCGAGCGGTTTAAATATGTGCCTGAATAAATATGGTATTTCTATGTAGAGCAATGTCGCGTATAAAAGTAGGCGCTTACGGCCGTATAAGAAGGGGTTCAAACCATGCTTCTATTCAAGTTATGCTTCTATTGGAAACATGCTTCTACGTCAACATCTTCAGTCTACACTGTACAGTGCACACATTGTCACGTATGTAGTGTGCAAGTAAATGATGCATGCATGCTTCTATTCAAATCGTGCTTCTGCGTCACGGCGCGCTTCGAAAAATCGGCTTATATTCGAGTCATGCTTCAATATGGGTCATGCTTCAATATGGGTCATGCTTCAATATGGGTCATGCTTCAATATGGGTCATGCTTCAATATGGGTCATGCTTCAATATGGGTCATGCTTCAATATGGGTCATGCTTCAATATGGGTCATGCTTCAATATGGGTCATGCTTCAATATGGGTCATGCTTCAATATGGGTCATGCTTCAATATGGGTCATGCTTCAATATGGGTCATGCTTCTATATGGGTCATGCTTTTATACACGACACTAGAGCATGTCAACACTGAAACCAGGTTACTGTGATGATATGTATCTTGAAAATCAGGCTTGCATTCAAAAACACGCACCCAGGAGAATGGTAGAAGAGCTAGGAGAATGAGAAAGAGAAGAAAGACAGTGGGACCATAGTCGTCGGGAATTGAACCCGCAACCTGTCGATTAGAAATCGACTGCACATACCACTGCACCATATGGGACACACACAACCACACAGGCACACCCACACACACAAAAGATCTATCACTATGAACGCTGGGCCTCGCAAGATATTTTAAACACACCACTGTTAAGAAAACATTCACATTCACACTTACCTTCACCACATCCTCTTGGAGTTGCTGAATGTGAGACTCACGACGACAGAGAAGTGCCTCAAAGTCGCAGATCTGCTGTGGAGTTACGTTACCCGGAGGTTCAGATGGCATGCCGTCAGGGGAGTAGGGCTGCTTGCAGCGTTCCAGCTACATAACAGTAACACAGGAGAAATTCTCGTTAGCAGTAACGTAGACAGAACGAACACACATAAACAGGTCAACCTAGATAGACACAGGCAACAATAATTACACAAAGGAGGGTAGGGAGGGGGGGGGGGGGGACTTTCTTACATTCTCGCCTCAGTATGTATGTGCTTCATCCTGGCTGTACAGCGGAAACTTGGTCTTCTCACCTGTGCTGTGGTGTGGGCTCCCATTGACACTTCTTCCCTTATTCGGAGCGAGAGGACTTACACCCTTTCAGCGGAATGCCCTGTATATACAGGGGCGTCGGAAGGTAATTTAGTGTGTACAGTCAGCCATCTGAAGTACAATTTACTCGTGGGGGAGGGGCTGCCGAGCCGAAAATTTGGGAAATTTAGAGCCAAAATCAGTTCATTTTATTGATTCACAAGGTACTTGGGGCAAATAGTGGTACGGTCAATACCGTAGTGACCGTACCGTGTGCGACGCCCCCTGATATAACTGCTCCTTTGTAGCTGGAACAGTATCATTGTTAAGTTACCTGATGATGGCCATGTGCCGAGGGGGGGGGGGGGCTAGCATTATCCAGCAAGCTAAATATATAAAGAGAGGAGAATGGGGGGGGGGGGGGAGAGAGAAGGATGGAGGGAAAGACAGTGAGAGTGAGCGAGAGAGAGAGATAGATAGATAGAGAGAGATAGAGGGAGAGAGATAGATAGATAGATAGAGAGATAGAGATAGATAGAGAGAGAGAGATAGAGATAGATAGATGAGATCTGAGAGTACGGCAACGAGAACACTCGTAGCACCTACCTGAAGTCGTAGCAAGTTGACATCACTCTCCAGCCGCTCGCGCTGCTGAATATCCAGTGCATCTTGCCTGGTGGAAACCTCTCTCAGCTCCCGCAGGGCAGCTTCAAACTCTCGGATGGGAATTGCCTGTGACACCTGCCTTGTGAACTAGAGGAAACGAAAACACCAAGAACCAAGGAGAGACCATGATGTAACTACCTTATAAGCAAGCCATTTAGAATTATCTGAAACATTTAATTTTATATTTGAGTAAGCGGTGAGCAGACAATTGTCGGTCACACTTCTTATCAATTATGTCGAAGAAAATGACAGTCACATACTATTGGCATTTATACGCTTACACACAACACGTGGTTGTCGTCTTCAACCTCAGCACCACATACACACACACACACACACACACACACACACACTTGTACTTGCTCACTGCCAAAGCTGGTCACGTGGGTCTCCCCGGGAGAGGGGAGAGAGACTCAAAATGAATCTTGGAAAGATGACTCAATAGGCTATTGAACCGCCCAACGGCCGACACCCCCTGAAATCCCCAAACTAGGGTGGATTTGAAATGATCCCACTTATGGGCTCCCCACACCTCAGTAAGTGGGTGAGGACAAGGTGCAGAAAAAGGATGGACGGCATCAGGGTATCCGTCCCGGGATCCAACTGCAGTTACCCCTGCCCCCAGTGAAGGTAATACTTGGTACTAGTGTGGGTGGCTAAATCAGAGTGGATCTGATATAAGCTTCACTAGCACCATTGATTACACAAGAGTTAATCTAGCCAGAAGCAGTCCATGGTCAACAGGTATGTATACTTCAAATAGAAAGTATTATGAACCCTGAAACCAACAAAGGTGGTAGGTACAACAATACACCTTCAAGCAGCCGAGCCCGTTGGCACCAGACCCAACAGTATCTAGCATAAGTGTACCCACCAACCGAACTAGCTGGGCACACACACACACACACACACACACACACACACACACACACACACACACACACACACACACACACACACATGCACACACACACACACACACACACACACACACACACACCCTGACCTTTGACGCCCATCGCCGGAGGCGATGATAGCAATGCAACGGCAGAAGCCATAGCAACTTGTGCTGGGATTGCACCATTCAACAGCTTGCAAGGCTGAAGAATTGACCATCATTATTCAGCCTGGTCTACACCATACAGCTATTTGAAGTGACTTTTTCTGGCCAGTGAATCCCTATTTTTGGTCTTTTTTTCCCCGCACACACCATCACACCACATACTTCGGCATGCACTGGCTGTTGGTAACCACCCAGGAGAATGAAAGAAAAGTCAGGAAGAGTCTGAGAAAGAGAAGAAAGACGTGAAAGACCATAATCGTCGGGAATCGAACCCGCAACCTATCGATTGGAAATCGCTGCACATACCACTGCACCATATGGGACACACACACACACACACACACACACACACACACACACACACACACACACACACACACACACACACACACACACGTTGAGACTAAAGACTGACCTCCTCATTGACACGCTTTAGCCGTGCATCACTCTCAGACACTCGTGTCTCAAGCTGCGGTATCACCTGCCCTTTCTCTCCAAGGTCCACAATCTCATGTCGAAGCCGATCACATTCCTCCTGGCCAGTTGTGCCTGTTGGAGCATTGTTACGAAAGCAAAAAAACAGGAAAAGACTTTCAGGGCGAGCTTATCGGCAAGGTGGAGATGAAATTTGAAAATGGTTTTCGGTGAATCTCTGGAGAATAGCCTTGTACGAACAGACACAAGTAAGTCGGAATTGCAATTGAGTCCAAATATCTCTCACTCTCTTTCTCTTTTCTCTCTCTTTCTCTCTCTCTCTCTCTCTCTCTCTCTCTCTCTCTCTCTCTCTCTCTCTCTCTCTCTCTCTCTCTCTCTCTCTCTCTCTCTCTCTCTCTCTCTCTCTCTCTCTCTCTCTCTCTCTGTCTCGCTGGCTCTGTCTCTCTCTCTTTCTCAATCTCCATTGAAGAACAGGAAACAAATGCATCATTCAGTTCACAACTCACACTGTGCAGTTAAGGTGTGTATGATACGGTCACGCCGCATCAGCTCCTCCCATCATATCATCCCGGGCGTGCAGCACAACCGAGTCAGTCTGCCGCCGCTCATCTTCTAGCTTGGCTGTCGACGGCAACAACCCGGCAAGGTCGAAGAAGAGGAACGGGAAAGTACACATCAAGAGAATAGGAACGTCAATAGGGCATGCTCTTTGCTTTATATTTATTACAACATCCCAAGACTCGGTGGAAACACCGGCCAATGTGAAGAGAGTGGGTGATTGCCAACCACGGCGAAAAATAAAAGTAAGGGGAGGGAAAAAGAAAGAGTAGCAAAATGAACAGCAACAACAACTCCGTAAAGAAAGATAATGTCTAATAAAAACAGGACGAACTTTAGACCGGCTACAGTGCTGATCAATGAAATCCAATTAAGCACGCTATTGGGTGCGGTGTACAGGGGTTACGCTATATTGTCTCATGAGTTGTGAACTTCCCAGGATGTTTTCGCTCCCCTTTTAAACAACACAGAGTGCAAGAAGCACTTTCAAACAAAAAATCAACTGCAGCTTCCACCTAGAATGGACACAGATCCTCACATACCCTTCAGCTGTTTGTTGACCTGTTCTAGTCGACGGCAGCGATCCTCCAGCCGGGTGCGGAATGCCTGCTCCAGCCTTTCCTGCTTATCTGTAGACTGCAGCAGGATGTAGTGCTGTTCGCGGATCGAATCGAGATCCCGCTCAAACTAAAGGTGCAAAAACAAAACATGCACGCATAATTTTATACACACCCATAACACACATAAAGCACCCACCTGTGCCCCCCCCCCCCCAAATAACTATAATTATATCCACGCCTGGGTGTGTGTGTTTAGACAGCATTGCTGGCATCAACCATACAACATCCACACACTCGTGTCAACTCACTCACACATGACACCATGCCCTGAACTAAGATGGTATAAACGCTGACCAGAAGTGATGTAGACAATTCATGTACACTCCTCTGTTCTATGGAGCTGCAGCCATGACAAAGAGAGCATTTTACCTTGTCAACATAGTACTGGCCATCAGAAGGAAGACAGAGATTAACGGCAAGGGTAAGAAGACACATAGGAGAAGAAAGCGAGCGAGAGAGAGAGAGAGAGAGAGAGAGAGAGAGAGAAAGAGAGAGAGAGAGAGCCGGGGGGAAGGGAGAGGGAGAGAGAGAGAGGGGGGGGGAGAGGGAGGGAGAGAGAGAGAGAGAGAGAGAGAGAGAGAGAGAGAGAGAGAGAGAGAGAGAGAGAGAGAGAGAGAGAGAGAGAGAGAGAGAGAGAGAGAGAGAGAGAGAGAGAGAGAGAGAGAGAGAGAGAGAGAGAGAGAGAGAGAGAGAGAGAGAGAGAGAAAGAGAGAAAGAGAGGGAGGGAGAGGGAGAGAGCGAGAGAGGGGTGGGGGGGGGGGGAGAGGGAGAGAGAGAGAGAGAGAGGAGAGTGAGTGAAAGAGAGAAAGAAATATAGGCAGACGGACAGACGGACAGACACACAGGCAGAGTGGATAAAGCAAGTCCCATGCTCGACAGTGTACACATGCTTTCTGTAGCTGCGCCAGTTTGGCTGTGAGGCTGGCAAGCTCCTGGCGCAATGATACATTCTCCTCACACAGCCTTAACTTGCTCTCAACAGCAGGCGGCAAATCCGAATCGGTCAGCATGCCCGGCAGCCCATCATCGGTGCCTCCCCTGCTAGCGAAGTCCGGCGTTGAACCTCTATGCGTGGCAGCCCCGGCTGCAGACGTCACATATTGAAGTGGAGCACGGTGATGGCTGTGGATCAGAGATGCAGCGCTGAAATCGGCAATCGAGTACGACGGGGCGTTGGCGACAAAGCGAGAGTCCTCGCCTCCAGGCTGTGCACGGGCCATGGTTCGGGTTCAGTTGCCAGTGCACTCCGTCTCACTTACTTCACTCTGCAAAAGAGATAACAGAAAGAAAGTGTGTCTGATGATCTGTCAGGCATGTAATCGACTCACGCGATCTGACGACCACTTCTAAATTTGAACACACCACACACCATGTTATCAGATGGAGATATGTGTGCAAGGAGACATACCATATTACACGTGAGTTCATTGCGCAGCACTGTAGGTGAATCCTGTGGCGTGTGTAAGCGTCGTATGATACAGTGCCGGCCAGAGAAATCCAACCTCTTGAATAAAGTAGCGCAATGTTAGAGTTCACAGACCAGTATGTGTAGTGCTAGGGGCTGCGTAGTGCATGCCCGGCAACGCTATTTTATTCATGAGGTTGGGTTTCATTTAGTGGCAACGCTGTAGTTTACCAGGTATGATGGTTACAGCATGGCATGCAGGAACACACACACACACACACACACACACTGTTTTCTTCCATACGGTGTGCCCTCCGCATTGCGCTACGCTGTTACTGCAGTATACATGTACATGTATACTGCAGACTAGTACGGTTGTGGACATTGAACTCCGCGGAGAACGTCAAGCGCTCACGGTGCGCTGGCCTTTCAGCCGCAAGCACTGCTGCTCCATTATTGCAGTGTATGAGAGAACTACAGTGGCTGTACTCGCTACGGCAGTAAGGGCGCCAGCCCCGGTCACTCCACCGGATTCCAACATACTGTGAGACCACTAATGTGAACGAACATTTCATGCTAACGTTTTAACGAATATATAAAAGTCGTTTAAAAACATTTGAAGTTGTTATGTGCAAACGATATGTCCATGTACAGTCATTTGCCGTTTCGAGACAGAATTCGTTAGAATTTCACCTCGCTAATCCACAAAAATCAGGAGGTCGTTAACATATTTTGGTCTTACAGTACAAGGCATTAGTACGCATGGCTAAGATACATGCACTAAAGACCAGATCACCGCTCACCGCTGTACTGGTTCAGTGCCACCGTGGATTAATATTGACAGTAGAACCACTCTATCATGATGTACTCAGGGGTCTCAGAATCGGCGCGGCAGGTTCGGCCAAAGACGCACCAATGATTTCGCCTGCAGAACCCTGAAGCAATAACGTATGGGCTATTTGGGCCCAATTTTCAAAGCGATCTCCAACGGAGAGAACCCCCGGACCACCGCCTCTTCATAGCCGCACCAATAATACTTTCCGACGCCCTGGTACTCCATACATGTACCAGGCGCTAAGCCTGTCTTCAACAATGGCCCTAGCCGTGGGCCGGTGAGCATACGCCATAACCAGATAACACCCGCCTCAGTTCAATCACACCCGTACACACGCACACACACACACGCGCACACACACATCCAACCCCCCCCCCCCCACACACACACACACATACGCGCACATGCACATACATCTGTGGCAGCAGAAAGAAACAGTGGACTAACAATATTTCAGCCATTCTGCCATTTCAACGCCAAGTGCACGTAAAAACTCGTGGAAGGACAATGTAACTTTGTCCCGTGTGAGGAAGGAAACTCTGAAGCACTGGGCTTCCGATTGGGGCCAGACATCGATAGTGGATCCCAACGGTTGAACCCCGTTTACAAGTGTTTGGTGTCCGCCTCGCAACGTAGCTCGTTACATACCGATATTAGATAGTGGTGTCCACTCTGCTAAATCATTTTGAATGGTTATAATTTACAATAATTTTACAATTCGCACATCATGACTACTTACCACCTGCCACCTGCCGGCCAGAATCGAAGTACCGAAACACCGGCGTTGTAGATTGGCTGATACTTTAGCACACGCGCTGTGCACTCCGTCGCACGACGTGCTGGAATGGCCAACGCGCAAAGGCAACCCTACAAGGCGACTCGCGATGCCAAAGGGAGAAAGGGCACCACAGCGTATTACCGTCCTCACTGATGCACGGGCGCTATCGTCGTCGCGTCGTCCTATCACGGTTCTAAGTGTTCAGCATACAAGGATTTGGCTAATGACTATTGTAGTAATGAAGATCCCGGATTCCAGAATGTAGAGCCTTGCGATCTTCCCCAAAACCAAAAATGTAATACAACCGTATAAAAATAATAATAAGGCCAAACTAAAGAAGGTGTGTGGTTCGACTCACCCGACCGACCGTACATTTTTCACCCCGACCGTAACTTTTTTTCGGCGGGCTGTCGTGTGACTGACGTACGTGGACTGAACACGTCCACGTCTACGTGCTGTGCAGCGCGAGTCTGCGGACGCAGGCGGCTCCTTTTGGACTTGACTTGTACTTGTAGTTGTACTGCAGTGCAGTGCAGTGCAGTGAGTGGTACGACTGCTGCCTTGTGCTGGTAGTACTAGTAGAGTCTACTCGATACGACCACCGGCAGACCATGCAGACTGGCGAGACTTATTTTGAAGTGACCGTCCGGTTGAGAGTGATTGCCTCGTTCCAGATTAAGGACGGCCTTCTGTTTTGGGATGAAGGACAGACGAGATTGCACTTTCCCGTATGTCACATGACTGTCGCCTTGGAGTCGACCAATGACAGATCAAATTACGCGGGCTGGAAAGCGCGATCCTGCCTGCTGAATGGTGATGGAACTAGTTCCACTGCCCGTCGTCAAGTGACGACGGGCAGTGGACGGAATCCACTGCCCGTCGTCACTTGACGACGGGCAGTGGACAGAATCCACTCATGAGTCTACCATTTCAATGACAAGCTTCTGTGGTCTGAAAGTACAATGCAAAAGTCATGTACTGTACTCTGTAGTCCGTGTACGGTTGTCGAAGTCACTCTCACTCAGCTCACACAGAGTCACAGCAGTCATACAGGACTCGAGTCGAGTCACAGAATGGTTCATGTAAACTCAAACGTCAAAGATTGTGAGTGATCTCCTTGGCTTGGGTGCACACGGGAAACACGTTCCAGTCACTCATACTCGGTCAGTACCGCTGCTCATCCAGCCCTTGCCGCTATCGCGGCGCGGGCTGGATTCCGCGGTACTGCCCTCATAATCGTGCAGGAACCTGTACTTCCTCGTGTATTGGGAACGATATTTCACCTGTACCGGTAAGTTAGTTGCTGCTCCATGTGTGCAAGCACAGGAAGCGTCGATGGAAAAAGCCCATGTATTCGTGCACGCCGACACCAAACTAGCAATACATGTACCGGTACATTGTACAATTTGTACTTCGAAGTAGTTCCCGAACTTACTTTCAACTCGCATCGTTCTTCATTTGCTTGATGATTTGGACAGTCAGAGTCACCGCTTGAAGTTATTCTCTTCTCGTTCCAGAGCTACACAATGTTTCAAAGTATTAGCCAGTGATCCCTTTATACAACATGTATGGCATAACACTGCGTAATAATGCCGATGTACTGGGTGTCTAAAGGCAGTACAGTGTATTTACATGTGTCGTAACCGGGTATCCCGCTAGTAGTAGCGTTCAGCCGCAATATACGGCTACTGCCCAACCACTCACACAACAAGGTCACCGTAACCTAAAGGACGTTTATTGCTCCGGACAAGAAGAGGGAGACACGAGGAGTGCCCCTAGCGGCTACGAACACCTCCTCTTGTAAGCTTAGCTAAAAACATGAAGTAAACATCAGCGCGGGTTATAATGCAATAGCGAACGACAATGCCAGCTGAGAAGCAGTTACGCTGCTAATGTATTGTTCAGTGCAACAGCAATAGCACCGGCTATACGGTGAGGTCCTATGTTGTCATCAGCGGGACTAAGAGTACTCAGTACTAGTACGGACGTACATGTATATGCGCACCAGACCATAACGACGGTGACAGGTATGAATATGTCGCACTGTCACCAACTGATTTGTCAGGGGAGAGCTAGAGGCAAGATGATGGCGGCGTGGATCAATACTACTAGTACTACTAGTACGTTACAACAAGTACACAGATGTAGAGGTAAGGGGATACGTAGTCGTTAGGACAGCTCTGCATGCATGATGCTCGCGGCCAACAATAATAATAACATACATCTAGTCATGAGTAGGAAAAGTCACAGTTGTAGCATTGCCGGATATGACATCTCCCCCGGCTTCGCAAAAGACACGTCCTCGTGTTTTGCAAAGGTGGAATAACTAACAAATGGAAAAGACTGTACAGAGAGTCCGCGTAGCGCAAGCAATGAATGGAGGGGAAAGAAGGGAATTTAAACCAACCCAACGTATTTCACTAACACTTTCGTTTTAGGAACGGTAATTATGGAATTGCTAATGCCACATGATTATTATAATAGTTCACAGCACCTTCTCTAAGAACATAAAATAT